TAAGAGTGGCTTTAATGATTAATTATGCAATTGAAACTGGGTAAAAAGGGAGAAGTTATATTGAGGAATTAGTGATTGTGAAACGGATTGGAGGTTCTGGTGAGTGGGAAAGATTATCTGAGTGAGAATATAAGAAGATCTGAGCTGGAAAGATAAGAGCTTTGAACAGAGAGGCATGCATCAAGTCATATTGACTCCATCTAGCTACTCTCAGATGTTCCAAGTAAAGTGGGGAAAGTTTTTTCTTCTCCATCTGAAAGAGTACTTGGGTGGTGCTTTCCTAGGTTTGAAGGGTAAGAATGTGATCTGTAATAATCAAATAACCTGTACTTTGATCGAATGGGTATTTGAGAGTAAATAGCCACTTATCACTGTCATTCCAAAAGAGAGAAAGAAGAAAAAAGAAAGCAAGAAGAAAAAGAAGATCTGTGTTGTCATGGTAATAGTTTAACATTGTAATAATTAAAGCTTCTCTTAACTGACTAGCTAAACTGTGACTTAAAATATGCACTATTTACCCTATAATTAGGGCACTGGCTTACTAGAACAAAAATGCTACTACTCTGATTCCTGTTAAAAGGGGCTTTACAGCTGCAGAATTATATTCAGAGGCATAAGAAAAAAAATTACTGATTTTTAGAGAGAAGATAGAAGATTAAAATTTCCTTGTATTAAAAAGCATAAGTAAGCAAAGTTATAGAATCGACCTATAGAAAATTAGGAATTAACTTTGGGGGTTTTTTTGCTCACAAAAATAAAAAAATGTTTCATAAATTAAAGTGATTTTGGTAGAAATATTAGATTATTTAATAAAATATTCTAAGCTTCTTAGGAATATTAAATATATAAACTGGATTATACTAGACTCCTTTAACAATTTACAATATATAGTGCTTGTATTCTTTTTTTAATTCTTATTTTCGTAAATGACCTCTGACGATTCTTTGACCCTAATTACCCCATGATCCTGTATATCTGGTACAGATTCAGGATCAAAATTTCAGAGCTGATCCTATTTAATGCATTTAAATAGGAAATTTCAGAGTTGATCCTATTTAATACATTTAAATAGGATCAACCTAAGGAAACAGATCACTTCAATCTTTAATGAAATTAGAGAGATGTACAATCATTCATCATTTAATGGTGTTTGTTAATGTTTGTTTTCAGTACTTTTAATATGGGTAATTTTTTCACCTAAGAGGAAGACTGTTTATTGATTAAAGATGAGAAATATTTAAGACACCAATTCTATACTCACATACAGAAACTAAAATATTAGGTCTTAAATTTAATATAGTTCTAATTAGGATTTAATTACCTCATCTGAGATAAAGTAGCTTAGTATGTTTCTTTACACAGAAATAATTTTTCAATTGTTATCAAGTCTTAATCATTTTTGAATATATAGTAGAGATTTTGATTTTCTACTTAGTATTTTCAAAACATTAGATTTCGATTTTCTATTTAGTATTTTCAATTTATGGTAACTAGCCAAAAAAGTTTAAAACATCTCTAAAAAATATCTTAAGCTATTTTAACCAAGTAAACTTTGGATCTTATTGAATTAAATAATTATATTGTATATAATGTTTAAGTAAAAATTTTACATAAAAACATATATATGTTTTATTATTTTATATGGTTACTTATAATTATTAATTTTTAGAATAATTTAGTCAAATGGGATAACCACCACTATGACAGTACAGCACGGTGGTTAAGGGTGTAGCCACTAGACCCAGACTGCCTCAATCAAATTGGTCAAATTTCTATTTTAACATCTGCCTAGTGATGTGATTTTAAATAAGTTGCTTACTTCTTGTGCTTCAGTGTCCTTATTTATAAAATGAGGAACATAATGGTAAGTACCTCATAAGGTTACATAAGGATCAAGTGAGTAGATGAAGAATTTACAAAAGTACCTGACACAGAGTAAGCACTCAATGTATTAGCCTTTACTGGCAAAATCTGAAGAGCATGGTCAAACTTTAATTTTTTATTGTGAAAATTTTATAGTGTTTATCTCTTTTTTTGTCTCATTATTCATTATTCTCCTTTATTTCATCCGAAATTCTCATTGGATATTATTTTCTCCTGTTCTAAATACTGGAATATCATTTTTTCCTTAAGCCTTCTTCCATATATTTCTCTTTGACAGAGGCCTCTCTTTCAGGCAGTGAGGCTAAGCAGAATGCTGTGGAAGCAATAATCCAAAATTGCTGCTGTGCATTTTCACCTGTGGTACCCTTCTACCACTTTATCAGTCTCCATCGTTACCTTTGTTTGCAATATATATGCTGAACTATCATTTTTTTAAAAAAAATGTTTTTGAGAAGTCTATAATAGGGTTGCTGGTACTTGCACAGCTCATTTTGGTTTGTCTTCTTTATTTATATCAAAGTGGACTATAGAGAAGTTAAATTAATTTCAATACAACTGTAAGCATTTTTTATGCTATCTAAATAATTATTCAGTATTTCAGTTTAGTTATAGAAAATAAGCTAATTAAATATGAGAGAATGAACTCAGAACACCTCAGATTATAATTCTGATTTTAATCTATTGCATATTATTAATATATATAAGATGATATCTTGAGTATTTAGACCCATAAACTTATCAAAGAACCATAAAACAGCAGATGATCATAGAAATTGTGTTAGGAAACACGTAGAGGTGTAGCATCTCACCTGAGACAGAAATCTTTTCTTCAACATCTAACATTTGTTTCTACATTTCTTATTTGGGGAAGTTCATTACTTCACCATTTTAGACAGCTCTAGATATTTTTAAACGTTCCCTTATATGAAGCTGAGTCTGTCTACCTATAACTTCCATAAAGTCTTATTAATTCTGTCGTGACAGTTCTTCAGATATTAGAATGTGGCCAGCATTAATTCTGCCTTTGCTTTCTGCTCTGCTGCCTTCTGCCTGTTCTAGGTTTAACATTCTCATCTCCTCTAATTCTCAATGGTATCATGGCTAGGTATCTTAATTCTGGATATTAATAAATTTTTTTATTTCTCTTAAATCAGCTCTTACGTGTGTAAAAATGAATTGGTTATTAAACACTGTTATTAATAATAGTGCTATAAAAGATGTAGACCTGATGTAATAGACAAGAGTTGAGTAAGAATTTTGAAGAAAGTGCTGCATAGGTATTAAGTGTAAGAGCTGAAAGAAAGAAAGCCATCTAAAGGCTACTCTAGAAAGCAAAGTATAAAATAATAAGGATCTGGACTGAGTAACAATGCAAATGGAACCAAATGAACAATTACATGAGGTGTTTCAAAGCAAACATAACAGGATATAGAAAGTCAAGTAAATCTCGTGGGTAAAAGAAAAGTGATTCAAAGCATACTGCAGATTTCCTAGCATGAATGACTGACAGAAACGTTAGGGCTATTGTCAGCAATTGTGGGAGAACTAGTCTGAGAGCAAAAGAGAGAAAATGAGTTTGCTTCAGATAGAGGCAAAATTAGTACATTCATTTACGCATCTCCCTTGCAGATATGGAAATATGAGACTAGAAGCTTTTGCAGCTAAGATACATCTAGGTAATTATCAGATTCAAGATAACGATAGTCAAAGAGCTGGCCATTAGTCTGATGAAGAGACTTAGGAGAGAAAAGAAAAATGACCTGGGACTAAGCCTTGAGGAGACAAATAAGTTGACATATCTCATGCTGGAAATTACGGAGGATGTATAAGTAGATCTTTATGTAAATAAAATCTATGGGATGTTAGTAAGCTTATATAACTAATGTTCTAGAAATGTTGAATAGATGAATAGTAATAGTGACTAAGGAAAAGTCGGTTAGAATTTTAAAAACTTTATTATGTTGATCTCAAATTCTAAAATTCTGAATTTTTTTAATTCTTAGAATTTCTGAAGCCAACTCCATGTTAAAAAAGAAAGAAACTGTGCTCATTTGAGCTGTCACAACTTCATATTCTTTTTATAAGTAAATAGTAATTCAGTTATCTTAAGTATTAGAAATAATTAACACAGTATAAGAATATGTAAACTGGGGGTGACTCCATAGTGTAGTGGTTAGCATGTCTGCTTTACACGTGGTTAGCATATCTGCTTTACACGCAGAAGGTCTTGGGTTCGCGCCTCAGGTGGAGCTGTGGACCATACCATGGATGCCCCAGGCCCCTCCAGTACCCCAGGCCCCCGGAGTGCCCTGGGTATACCAGGCCCATAATGCATGCCATGAGCGTGAGGGAGGAGACGCGCTGCCTTGAGAGATCCAGTTCTTAAGGGGAAACAGCAACATCCATAGGTCAGGAGTGGAAGTATGGAATGGGGAATTAAAGAGGGGGAAACAAAGAATATGTAAACTTAACATTTTTTTATTTTAATGCTGTAGTCACGAAAACATGAAATCCATCAGACATAAATATTGAGATAAAACGATACCAGCCATCTGTATGATTTGTCTACATAATGCTTACCCCTAGGTATTCCCAGATTAACGATTCATAGCATTTTGTGGAATTTGGAGCTTTGTTGTTAATTGTGTTTCTTTATAATTGTACTTAATTATTGAGAGTACAACATTTCAAAAGCTCATAAATATTTACATTTGTATGTTTCAGGTGTTTGTATAATTTTGGGAGACTTTTCCTTTGAATATTGCACTTCTGGCTTTTCAAAAGTAGCTCTTTGAGTGTGTGTATGTTTGTTGCTTGTGTGTGTGTATGTGTGTATCTGTCTGTTGATAAAGATATAATTCTTTTATTATCCTGGGGATGGGGGACAGTTTATATGCCAATGTTTAATAATACCACTAATAAACTACCTAAATGATCTTGTGTGTGTGTGTGTGTGTGTACAGCCACAATTCCTTCAGGAGACACCTACCAAGGCAAATGCAGGTTTCCAGTGTTGATTTTAGCATGGGTACAGAACCCGTTTTGCAAAGAGGAGAAACAACAACCAGCATTGGGAGGATAAAACCAGAGCTCTACAAGCAGAAATCAGTTGATTCTGAGGGCAACAGGAAAGAAGATGTCAAAACCTGTGGGAAATTTAACTTTACCCTCCAATATGATTATGAAAACGAACTTCTAGTTGTCAAAATTATCAAAGCCTTAGATCTCCCTGCTAAAGACTTCACAGGAACTTCGGACCCTTATGTGAAGATGTATCTTCTTCCAGATAGGAAAAAGAAATTTCAGACCCGCGTACACAGAAAAACTTTAAATCCTCTATTTGATGAAACTTTTCAGTTTCCTGTAGCGTATGATCAACTAAGCAACAAAAAACTACATTTCAGTGTATATGATTTTGACAGATTTTCTAGACATGACATGATTGGGGAAGTGATTCTTGATAATTTGTTTGAAGTCTCTGATCTCTCCAGAGAAGCCATCATATGGAAAGATATTCATTGTGCTACAACAGTAAGTAATAATGCTACCAATATATTGCTTTTTATTTGACCTACAGTAGTGTATAAAACTAAATATTAACCAGCTTATTGTAATAAGTTTACAAAGTTATGAAATTTATGTGCTAAGAACCTGCCAAGGTAAGATTTAATTACATATATAATAATAGTTCAGGCACCTAACAGTATATAGGTAACATCAGTGATTGGGTAAATAAAAAAAAGCTCTTGTAAGTTACCAAAAAAAAATAGGGACAAGGGATTATTCTTAAAAATAAGAAAATTATTTTTTAATTTGAAATAGTTCTTTTTGTATTTTTTCCCTAACAATGTTTCATTAATTACAACCAATATTGGGGGTCCTTATAGTTTCACTATAAATTATATGGATGTTAATTTTAAAATTTATACTGGCAGTTTATTGCATTACATCATCATAACATTTTCAATTGCTGTATTTTAATTTTATGGTCTTCGTTGTGATACATATTAGGGAACAAAGAAGAAATTTCAAAACCAAAACATATTTCAAAAGTATTGGGGCTCTTTTGTTTCATATTGTCTTTCACTTTATTACTTATTACTTATATTCCTACAGGGGAAAAATGGTAAGCAGTGATTTTTCCTGTTTTAAAAAATATGACACCTCCTAAAATGCAAAGGCAGATAATTTATTGTTAGGTTATTTCTCTTGATTTCCCAATCTTTATTATTTATTCTTTTATTCATTCAACAAATATTTGTTAAGTGCCTACTGTGTGTTTGGCATGATCTAAGTACTAGGGATACAAAAAATTATATGAAGCATGTTCTGTTTATGTATTTAGATTCAGGGGTAAGTAACCGCCAAATGATGTCTGAAAATTAGTAAAATCGTCTAAGAGATTGACAGTGGTTGGTTTGTTTGTTTGTTTTACATTTGTACGTTTTTGTGTTTCAAAGTGGTCCTTCAAAAAAAAGGAAGAGATTTTTTGTGGAGACTTCAATTTTTGACTGCTAATGAAACATTAAATTCTTTAATTTTATTTTCAACTCTTCCTCTGCCTAATATATTAACTTTCTATTTCTGCTATGAAAATTACAAATATAGTGTCTTAAAACAACACAAATTTATCGTTTTACAGTTCTGTAGGTTAAAAGTCCGACATGGGTCTCATTGGACTAAAATCAAGGTGTTGGCAGGACTGCGGTCCTTCCTGGAGATTACGGGAGATTCATTTTCTTGTCTTTTCTTGCTTCCAGAGGCCAAAGCATTTCTTGGTTAAGATTATCCCCAGATAGGATAATCTCCCCATCTCAAGTTTTATAATCTTAATCACATCTGCAAAATTCCTTTTATCATTTGGGAACATATTCACAGATTCTGGGAATTGGCATGTGGCCATCTTTGGGGGTGCCTTTATTCTGAGTTTTATTTCGGCATTCTGGATATGAAAAGAGGTAGGCAGATATTGAAATGTATTATTATATTATTCTAGTCAAAAGACATTTCTTTTTAACTGAAACATTGAGGCACACACTGTTCGAGATACTCATAGCTTTTTTATTAGAACGATATAACGAAACCTAAATGTTTTGGCTATGGGACCAAAGTTCACAATATACACAAATATGTATTATATGTCATCTCATATATATATAATCATCGTTATGATTAGCATAGTATTTCATTTAAAACTTTCCTTTGAAAATCATTAAGCAATTTTATATTTTCAGATTAAAAAAAATGAAAAAAACTGACATCGGTTGAAATGTGCATAAGAAACTTTTTTTTATATATCATTAACTTTAAATAATTTCATATAGAAATTATAGGGTTTTCTACAAAGAAGGAGGGAAAAAGAAATAGAAAGCAATGTTATATACCCTCATACATTCCAGTCCTGTAGAAACCTGCAAAGGTGATAAATTATATGGACATAGATATTAAAAAACTGTGTAACAGATAAAATATATATTTGAATTAGAATGTTAGCTTTCTTTATATAGATAACTACCTAGTTAAGGATAAATCTTGAAAAAACATTATTATAATTTAAGGTTCTTATTTGAGATAATTATGTATGTAAAATAAACTAGGAATATTGTTAATTTATTGTTGAAATCTTATCAGGTTGAAAGAAGAGTTATATATTTTATATTCATAATTTCATTACTAATAAGTTATTTCTATACAAAAGGGATTGATATTTTTTATCAGGAATTAGCAGGGTTTTTTAAAATTTGAGATTGAAGGAAAAAGGAAATAATAAAGGTGTATCTTTATTCTGTGCAAAAAAATTTCACTTCAGGGATCATCCCACTGTATATCACAAATTTGGCAAGCCAATCACCTACAGCACTAATATACAGATATTTCCAACATAAGGGGAAATCACATTGAAGAACACTGCACCCTGTGACACTGCTCACTATTTCTGTAATAGGAAGGAGAAATATATATTCATATTCAGTTATATATACAAAAAAGCCTATGTGAGGACACACAAGAATTTAATAATAATAGTACCTATTAACGAGAACGGTAGAAACTATTATTGGTAGATAAATATAGAAAAAGAATGACTTATAACATATTGTTTTATATACATTTTGTCTTTAAACTATGGGAGTATAATATTATTCAAATTTTTAATTAACTTTTTTCAAAAAGTAATAATTATACAGACTAATGTATTTTGAATATTTAAATGTAGTTTTCTCATACATACTTAAGAAGCCATTGAAAGTATAAAGAAAAACTTTCCCTTTTCTGAACAGGACTAACTTCATTTTGCATATTTATTTACTCATCTATTCAGTGAACATCTTTTCAGTACAATCTATGTTTTAGACACTCACAAGAAAGGAGAATGTGTATACAAAACCACCTGGTTCACAGCTATAAAGTGCTTGAATCTGTTATCTTCTAAGGAACTGTCGAGTATTGTTTAAAGAGTTGGTCTTGCCATGACAAATACAAAGAAATTGTCGTATTCATTGTGTCGACCATTTAATACTAAATGTTCCAGCTGAGCTTTGGTTTGAAATAATGTATTTTCTTACAGATTACTAAAATTTCTTTAAATGTTTAAAAAAAAGTTTTAATTTGTCTTCTTATTTCTAGTGATATATTTTTCATTCTTCCCTCAAGCATCCTGGATCTATCCCAGGATCAGAAGAATACTATATATTTTTTTTGCATTTATCTGTCAACAAATTCCCTTCTAAAGTTTGTTAATCGTGGAATAATGTACTAGCCAAAGCTAACCATATCGTAATTATAATATTTAGGGTTATTTAAAAAAGCAAGTTGGTTTTTTTTCCAAATTTATTGCATCTACATAATTTCCAATCTAAGTTTCTACATCGTTCTGCTTGTAAAGATTATAATCACCATCGAGCTTCTCTGTCATCCTTGGGGGTCTCTCTGTCTCTCTGTCTCTGTCTCTGTCTCTCTCTCTCTTTATCCATCTCAGTCTGTCTCTCTTTGTTTCTCTCTCTGTCTCTCTGTCTCTCTGTCTCTCTCTCTCTCTCTTTCTCTCTCTCTCTCTCTCTCTCTCTCTCTCTCTTTGCCTTCCCTTCCTTCCCTCCCTAGCGGTATCACTTTGGGTAAGTAGCTTAACATTTCTGAATTTGTTACCTCATCTATAAAAAAAGAGGTTTATAATAATATCAACTTCACAGGAATATTTTGAAAATAAAATGAGATAACAAATGTGAAGTTTTTTTAAAATTTAAAGTTGCTAAGTGCCATTATCTATAATCTTGCACATAAAGAAAATAGCTATTTGTTATCTACTCGATTACTAACATCCCAATTTCATTCATGTCTTAAGTTTCTTACCCTAATATTTAAATTTCTTAAAAGTATTATCCTCACTTTTTAGAAAATAAATGAGAGGTACTTATGTTGTACTCTTTAACTCAATCTTGAAGTGAATAAAATATAGCAACATTGTAAAAGACTATGCCATGGCATATATTGCATGAAGTCTTTCTATAAAGTCACTAAACCAAAGATCTTACTGACCGAATATCAATTTTCTTCATGTTTTTTGGAGTGCTTTTAAATGTTAAGAATTCTGCACAATCCCACACCCTGTGGTAAGTAAAGGCATGTTTTGCAAGTGTAGGCATCTATCAAATACCAGTCTATAGAAGAGCATAGGTAATGAGAATAGAAATTCTTCCCAAATAGGCTGTTGTCATACCAAGTAGACTGCAAATGTTTCAACTTGTTATCTAGTTATGTATAGAGGAACAATTGTTATGTCTTGGCCATTCAGAGAAAAATAATGGCTAAATAAACATTTGGTAATAGAGGTTGGTTACCTGTTCTGCCCACTTATAGAACAAGGATCTTAAATCCATCAATTCGACAAACTTTTATTTAGTTCTCCTATTTACCAGACACTCTTCTGGATGTTGTAGGACATAAAATGTTCCTGTTTTATGAGGCTTACTTTATAGAAAAGGGAGTAGGATAATAACAAAGGAAATAGATAATATGTCCAGTGAATGTAAGTGGTATAAGCAACATGAGGCAGAATAAGGGATAGGAAGTGGCAGTGGGGTGGGGTCACCCTAGATGGGAAGTCAGATAAGGCCTCTCTGATGAGAGTGATAGATGAAATCAGAGAGATGGCAGAGCGTCAGATCACCTAGAGCCCTTAGACTTTGAGGAGCAGAGGTGAAACCATACTAATCAATTTAAGGTAGACTTTAGTATAGTGAAGCCAAGTTCATCCAGTCCAAGTATTTACATACAGCGATACTGAGAGAGGCTCCTTTAAATAAGGATTTTGTAAAGGTGTATAAAAGCATCAACACTCTAAGGCAGGGGTCCCCAACCCACAAGCCGCGGACTGGTACCAGTCTACGGCCTATAAGGAACCAGGCTGCACAGCAGGTCAGTGGCATGCAAGCAAGCGAAGCTACATCTGTATTTGCAGCCGCTCCTCAGTGTGAGCATCGCCACCTCAGTTCCACCTCAGAGCATCGAGCATTAGATTCTCACAGAAGCACTGGTCC